ATTGAGTCAGACGCAATTATTTTTGAGGATTTTGACAATTGAGTCAACAGCAAAATAATTTATACCACATGTATAGTTCAGTCTATATATCCAAATGAATAGTGATACCTTTCGTTAAACAATTATTATTGTACTATCTGGATAATTGTTACACCACTATACCTTAACGAAAAGATCACAATCTCAATGTCTACTGAATCAGTATGTGAAATGGCTTCTTATGAAAAACAGCATATAAATGGCTATGGTACCAGATACCATATTAATCTGATCAATTGCCTTTATATGGGATTGAACTGATATCTTATAATCTGACCTATGGATCCACAGGTCATATTATTTTTAATTATATAATGAATTTTTATTTATTTTATATAAAAATTATAATTCCAAAAATTGAAATCACATAGACTTGCATGGACTCGCATATATATAAAAAACATAAATAGGTTATAATCCATCTATTAAATTTACTATAAGAGCTGAAATCGAATAGAATCGAATACAGAATCATTAGGATCCTTAATAAAAATCAAAATATAGTTTCTTTAAATCTTTTAAAAGCTTTTTATTTAAGCTTTTAATATAAAATAATATAATAAAATTTTTTATAAACATACTTGTTTATAACAATATAAAAAAATTTTTTTTTAATTTTTATATATCATCTAAAATTTTTAAAAATAAATATTTTTAAATAAAATTCATATTATTTTATTCTTAAGTTTTAAAAAATAATTAAATAAAATTTCATAAAATTTTAATGATTTTTTTATTTAATTATAAAGTAAAATATAAAGTCAAAAAAAATTTTCATTAATTTTGACTTATATTATATATTCAAAATATGATAATATATTTATAGCTTTTGTTAAAAGTTTAGCTTTTAATATAAAACTTCCAATTGAATCTTTTATATATGTAATTTTATTATTTTTTAATCTAGTTAAATAATAATATAATATTATTATTTAGATTTTAAGTTTTTCAAGAGCTTTAATTTTTAAATTTTCAGATTTAAGTAAATTAAAAATTATTAAATAAAATAATTTTAAAATAGGATAATTACTTTATTTTATTTTATTTTTATTTTATTTTTAAAATATCAGTTGGACCTTGCTTTATTGACTTTTAAATACTTTATATATATTATATTTTATGTATTGTACATAGTTTACTATATATGAATAAAGCTATATCTAAGTAACTTATATATCGGCTTGTTGCTATCAGCTTGTTCAAAAACAGAGGCTTGAGCTAATATGTCAAGGCTCCATTAGCTTATATATAATAGTTTTTGATTAAATGATTAAAGTTCGTGTTGTATTCCTATTTGTTATTTTGTATTCTGTTGCTAATTAAGTATTCACGAATATGCCACATCTTTTATTGAAATATATGCTTTTGGTACAATTACAGTAGCACCATTTAATCAAAATACTATATTAACTCTACTTTAACTTTTTAAGGCAATGCCACATATACTTAACAAGTATTATATATATACTGTATATTTATAGTTAACTTATCTATATATGACTAACTATATATCATTTAACTTAATACTATATATAATTACTAACTAAACATGAATGGCTAACAGAAAAACTATCCTATTTTCAGAAAGATATGTGAATTTGTCTTAATTTTTCCCAGAACAATTTTTTTTTTTATTAAGAGTATTCTGATTATCAGGCCATCGATTACAGTATCCTGAATCCTGGTTTTTGGTTCTTCAGAGTGATTTGCGGTTTTTATCTTCCATCAAGGCCTTTCGATAGTAAAGTTTGTAAAACACCACACAGCTAAATGCTTGATTGGTATTCTTTAACATAGCTGTCAGGAATCTCTCAGAGGTACTCTATCAGTTTGAAATCTACTCTTCTTATTACTTTTTATGGCAACGTAATCATGTCAGGGATAATTCTAGTCGATTTTGAACGTTCGATCATATCACAATTCCCTTATAGACCAGTCTTTCTATAATTGGAAGTATTGGTTATTATACGGTTAGGCTGATGGCATACAGATTCCCACATGATTTTGGGAAATCACATTAGCTCCCTAGTGGATTTGAACCTATAGCTTGTGATATTGACCTATGGCACTTTAACTAGTGAGCTATGAACCTATAGGTCAATAGGATAATTACTTTGTTATAACATATTAAGAAATTGATTTGAATTTATATGTAATAATTTTTTATTAATATATTGTTGATTATATAATAAATTAATTAAATATTTAATATTATTATTAAAATATTTAAAAGATAAATTTGTTATTGAATCTTGATTATTATTTATTTTTTGTTCTAAATAAAAAATTTTTTCTAAATATTTATGTTTAAGATTTATAATTTCATTATTATAATAATTTTTTAAATTAAAAATTTTATTATTATAATAATTTCTAAATTATTGATTTTAATATTATATTGCTTATGTAAATTTTCAATTTGGATATTATACTGATATTTAATATCTTCAATTTCAGTATGATTATAATTTTTAAACTTTTAATTTTACTATTATGTTTATTTTGTAAAATTGAAAATTTGGTATTATGGATATTATTTAAATTTTCAATATCTTTTTCCAATCATATAGTATATTTTGCATGTTGGAGTAAATTGTTATATAATTGCAAGTCAATAGAAATATAAGAAGTGGACTGTTGTGAACTCATTTTTTCTTAAGAAAATGTATTTAATAAAAAAAAATGTAATTTATTTTGTTGATGATATGATTTTAAGTGGATCAGCTTAGATGACTTTTAAAAAAAGAAGAATTAAAGAAAAATAAAATAAAATAATAGTATTTAAATAATTTTTTTATTTGGTTTTATCTAAATTCTTTTGTTTTATTTATTTATTTTTTTTCTAATTTTTATTGTCTAATTTTATTTATTTATTTATTAATTACTTTATTATCTAAATTTATTACTTTATTATCTAAATTTTTTGTTTAAATTTTTAAATTTTAAATTCCAAAACTAAAATTAGAGATATAAACTTCGAGATTTAAGTTTCGCCACAATTTATAACTTATAATTAATGATTTACGGCTTATGATTTCCGAAATTTCAATATGCCGAAGAAATAATCCGAAAATATATAATTATTACAGTACAGAAATTTCACTCGAAAACAATGCAAATGCAGCTGCACATATACTATACAAATATGTACGGAGAACATTTTTTACTCTATTTATTATTTTGTTTTATATCTATTATTTTTTTATTATTATTTATATTTTACACATAAATATGTTCCTATAAGGTGTTCTGGAATGTTATACAAATTATATTTCGCAAGAATAAAAGTATCCTTTTCACGAAACGAAAATTTGTATTATACACTTTTTTTTCCTGGTCATAGTTTTCCGACTTTCTTATAACTTCAATTATATACGTCATAAATAAAAGAACACTGGTACTTTCTGGCCTTTTATTGATACTATTAACGTCGCTTTATATAAGCTATTTATTTCAAACTGTGTCTGGACTGAATGAACATAGATCTAGTTCTTCGAACACGACTTCAAACGAACATGGCTCTAATTATTTGAACACGACTTCAAATGAACATGGCTCTAATTATTCGAACATGATTTCAAACACAGCTCCAAAAAATTATGATAAAACCCTTGGCTTCAAACACATTTATGTTATTAACCTTGCTCATCGACGAGACAGACATTTCAAGATAAGGGGTATAGAGAATGTTCTTGAATTGGATTTTGATTTTTTTCTGGCCGTTAGCATTAATGATAGTGAGATTCTTGATAAATATGATTTCAATATTGCACTGAACTATAAAGCATGCTACGTTAGTTATTATAGAGTCTATAAATCAATTGTTCGTAACGGATATAATAGTGGCTTAATTCTGGAAGATGATGTTGATATTGAGATGAGCATCTCATTGATCATAACTGATGTTTACCACATTCTACCCATCGATTGGGAAATGCTATACATTGGACATTGCTCTTGGGAAAATGGCAGCAAATTTATAGGTAATGCCAGGAGTTTTCAACTTTATGAATTCACATTGCCACTTTGCACATATACTTACGCAGTTTCTCTCTCCGGTGCCAAAAAGCTATTAAATGAGCTTCTTCATGCATCATTTCCAATTGATGTAGAAATAATTCATAGGATTAAACAAGGAAATATCTGATTATATAGTCTTGAACCATCGGCCATCGTTCAATGGAAATCGAAGGATAATCCATCTGATGTTTCTCCTGGAGTCAAACAGTAGACCTATAACCTAAAAAAATCCATCCTGCATTATCTTGGATTTCGTGAAGTTAAAGATCAGAATTTATACTTTCATTATAAAAAAGTTCCCGAGCATTCGTGATAGTAATATTCATTATAATAATATATCATTTATTATATTTTTATTCATGCAGTCTATTTTATTGTGTCAAATTACAATTCTTGTCATATGACTAATAATCCCGTGAAGGAAATGCTAAGGAACTTACTGTTGCTTTAAAAAAGTACTTTTCCTTAGCACAGATCCACGTAATCTATATTATATTCGTTAACTAGTTGTATAAGTTAAAAGTATAATATGAAAATGTTTTATATATAGTGTAAATTGTTTAATATAGGTAGACTAACATACAGTATGTGTCAAAAATAATTGACCTTTTTTTTTTTGGATCCAACATCAACTCAGGAATCCATTAGTGTCCTTTTTCATGTCCCCTGGTGTTTCTTCAGGGTACATGGACATACTATAGAAGTTCCTAAATACTTGTCTTAGGCCTAAGCCTCTAAGTATAAATGTGGAGGTGAAGAAATTTGCTATATTTTAAACAAGTCCATGTATTTTATGGACTTGATGATTTTTGCCAACAGTCACCACTACCGTTTTTCAACTGTTCAGTTTAGCTAAAACTTACTAGGATTTAGTCAATGAGATATCATTGACGAGATGAGGATACAACAGTACATCAAATTTGTCTAGGAATCAGACCCAGCCTTACCCTTTCTAATCTAATCTAGCAACACATGTGGGGGGTTACGTTTTATGAAGTCATGCAGTCAACCGTCACAAGTATACCCCTTAGGATAGAACATTCCATAATACAAGCAACCTCTTGCATTTCTGACCAGATCCTCACTACCATTGGACATGTGAAATTCTTATTGATAGTTGTACAACAAATGGTTTTAGTCATCTATACCTTTTTTTCTACTACCATAAAGATTTTATGAAACTTATTTCCCTTTTTGAAGATATTTCCCGGACAATACTTGATTAGAAAGTTTACCAATCAGACCATCTATCTTTTCGACCTATGGGGTATAGTTTACCCATAAGGCTCCTTGATCGCTGGAACAACCCAAATTGTTCTCTATCACAAGTTACAGGAGCAATGATACAAAGTCCCTTTTTTGGGATATGTGAATTGTTCCCAGTTGAAGTTGAACCATGGTTTATAGGTTAGCCCTATCCTGCCTTAGCCCATTGAACTATAACTGGATAGGTCTCTTTTTTTTTTTACTATAACTTATTAAATATTTTAATTTAATTTAATATAAAATAATTTATTTAAAAAGTAAAAATTAAGATTTTATTGGTATAAAAAATATAGTACATTAATAAGAATTTCTTTCGCCATTATTATTAATAATCTTTTAACAATGGCTTTTCATTGATTTAATAAGATTAACTAAGTTAACGTATGGAATTTTTTGCCATTCTTCGACTATATATTGCTCCAATTCACTAATATTTAATGGCAACCACTTTTCCACATTACGCTTAATGATACCTCATAGATTTTCTATGGAGTTAAGGTTTAGGCTATTGGCTGGCCAATTGATAATATCAGGAAAGATCTCATTGATAAACTTTTGGACAATTCAACTTGTATATTTTGGATTATTGTCCTGTTGAAACCTTCATTGCCTACCAAGCATTCTTCTAATTTCTGGATAATGTTGGCACAAGATTTCAATGTAAAATTTACTATTCATGGTGTTAGTAAAACAAAATAAAGATATTTTGTCTTTAATACAAAATCCTCTCAGGCAAAAATCTTTTGTCAATTTTTAGGAAGTGACCTAATTGGTTTATGGCCTTTGTATTATTGTTTTATTATGTTCCTAAATAGAGAAAAAGCTGTCTCGTTAGAAAACAACGTCCATTCCCAACTATTATTGAGGTGTTTTATTGTCCATTCAATCTTTTTTTCCTTTTGTAGATCTGTAATTATTGGAGTGCCTACCAGAAGAGCATGTTTATAGCCAAGCTTTTTTAATTTTCTTTCTACAGTCAAGGGTGATACAGACTCTCCATTTCTGGATAATTTTATGGCCAAGGTTCACAAAGGTAAAGAGTTGTCCTTGTTAATATAACATCAAGAACACGTGCTTTTGCTGATCCGATCTTTTTTGAACAACCGTTGCCCCTTAGATATGTAACATTCCCAGTTTTTTTTATTTTTCAGATATTATACTTAATTATAGAGTGATAAATACTAGTAAGCTTTTGGAGTTCCTTGAGCAAATGTATTCCTTGATTCCAGAAATGAAGAATCATTTGGTATTGGAAAGTTCATATAGGTGATGAAATACTTTCGATCCTATATACAGAGGGTGATCACGGGTATCGGAACGGTTATGTTTTTATTTATTATTTACATATTTTAGTTTACACGTAG